AAAGCTACCTCCTAGCCTCGTCTGCTTCGTTACAGTGTAAGGAGCAGTGTGGGGGGAGGGTATGAAGAGGGGAAGGGGGAGAGAACCCCCAGCCACCACCAGGCTCCATCACCCTGTGGTGCCTGCTGCAGCCGTGTGCTGAGATGGCACCCCAGCCGCGTCTCCCAGCAGTGCAGGGCGTCATGGCCACGCAGGGCGCCATCGCCAGGTGCGTGCAGGTCTGCGTGGCTCTGTGTGTCCCAGTGAGCTTGGCAACTAGACTGTTCAACTTGACCACCTTCATCTGGGGCCGCGCCAGGCTGGGGGCCTGGACATGTTCCTCATGGACCCCACGGCCACCAACGTGCTGGCAACACTGCTCTCGCTCACCGTCACCGCCCGTCCGACTACCTGGCCACCACCCACCTGGGCTGTGCTGCCCTCTCCTTCCTGTCCAACACCTGCTACTTCCATGCCCAGGACGTGCAGCTGGCGATGCTCTTCGTGTTCCTGCTGCGGCCACCCATCCTGTCTATACCCGGCCACCCAGGCGACTCCGAGGCGTGTGGGGGGCCTGGCGGCCCTGGGGGCTGTGCCCTCTGCAGCTCCTGGGCAGTGGTGGCCCTGCTGGGCATGCCCGGGAGCTGCATAGGGCCGTCCTGTGCCAGCTGGACCTGCTGACCGCCTGGCCCGAGTGTGAAATCGTGACCGTCGGCCTGGGCTTCGGGCTCGCGCTCATCCTGGAGCTGGCATCCCTCACCCTGCTGGTTGCCCAGCGGGCTGTTCTGCCCCCGAGGGACCTGGGCTCTGCCCACCTGGCAGTGCTGGCCATCGCCCTGGCCACGTTCTCCTGCCGCCTGCTCCACAGCACGGCGCTCCTGCAGCAAGCCCGGCTGAAGCTGCAGCGGGATGTGGGGTCCCCCAGGGACGAGCTGCTCCGGAGCCTGGCGGAGCTGGTGCTGGCTGCGGAGGGCTGCACCAGGCCTGGCACCCGCCTCCTCCACCAGCCCTGCAGGCGGGCACTGCGGACCCTGCCTGGCGGCTCTGCCCTGCCTGCCGCAGAAGGGAGGCCAGAGGCCGGCGGCAGCGCCTCCTACACCAGCGGGTGCCGAGTTGCCCTGCTTGCCGTGAGGGATGCGGCTCGCGGAAGCGCACACCTGCCGTGGGGCGTCGGGGTCCTCTGCTTGGGAGGCACCTGCTGGAAACTTGCTTCCCTGACCCAAACCAACACCCACACCCCTCAAGTCCGGGTGGGGAGCCTGGGGAGCTGGTCGGGGGGCATATCTGGCTGGGAAGGGGGAGGACGAGGAAGGCATCTCGAAGATAAAGACACGATGCTGATGAGCTGGTGGCCACATCAGAACCCTGCCCTCCCTCACGGCTGCCGAGAACAAGGAAGGGCTGTTTTGTGGTTTCCCAGTGGGTCGCCACCGCAGGTCTGAGCAGTCACCCACAGGCCTAGAGCAGGAACGCAGCTGGTGTGGCGCAAGGCACACACCTCGGCGGCCCAGGGAGCAGCTGTTTCAAAGGCCCTCTTCTATCTGTAGCATCTGCAGAAAGGCAGTCGCACAGGAAACACAAAAGCACCGAGCCCAGCAGCAGTCTTATTCTGAGGTGCACACGCGTCTCCTGCTGGCGCACCCCGAGTTTCCTGACTGAACAGAGACGTGTGGGGAGGCACCTCTGGCCGGGACACTGCCCTGGAGAGCCCCGCTCTTTCTGTCAGGACTCCACGCCCACACCACTCCCTGCCCAGCACTGGGAGTATTCCTGGTGCTAAGTCCACGTGCCCCCATCAGCCCGCACCCTGCTGTCCCTGTGACTCGCCTCTCCCAGCGCCCACCATGCAGCTGGAGCTATGGCGGCAGCCCCCAGGCTGGCTTCCTTCCGAGTCACTAGCACCTGCGTCCCTCAGTCTCTGGACGGCGATAGCTGGTGCCCGGCTGCCTGGATGTGTGTTTAACGAATGCTTAACATCAACCTGCAAACTGAGGACAGACTCGTGCCTGTGTGAGCCCCGCTTCTCCACGTCTACATCTGCACCCCTCCTTCTGAAGGATTGGGTCTTAGCTATTTCAGTGGCTTCTGTACACACATTAAAACAGTAAATGCTTCCACAAGCTCTCCTTGTACTTCTCCTTTCTCTGCTCACGTAGTCATGAAGCCTTCGCCGTCAGTGTGCGGCCGAGGTCGGCTCACAGCAGCCCCGCGGTGAGCAGGAGGCGGGAGGCGGGCAGGAGGCCCTCCCCGCAGGAGCGTCCGCACAGCCAGCACCGGGCAGACGGAGCCGCTCCTTCCCCCGTGGTCGTCTTTATTAGAAGGCGGACCGTTCTCCCGCCGGGGGTCTGACCTCAACGGCCTTCTGAAGGGCACTGCGTGGGCTCAGCAGGCAGACCAGCAGGACCTCCTGAGCTGTGGCTGAGCCTCGGTCGCCAGGCCTCCCTGTTCTGGGGTGAGATGTCCCGTGTGGTTGGTGGGCTTGGACCGCAGGCAGCCCTCTGCAGCCTGGGGTTCCCCTCGCAGCAGGCCGTCCCCAGTTCGGCCCCAGGGCTTCATGTTTTGAGGGCGCACTTAGCCCAGCACCCCCCTTCTCTCCACGGCCGCCCCTCAGTGGGCCATCACCCTGGGTGGCGGGACAGGCCTGGGAGGGGGGCACTGCCTGTTGTCTGAAGAGTCGTCTCTTTGTTCTGACTTTTAACGGCTCCCTCCTGTGACTCGTGCACGGCCAGGAGTGGAAGGGCCTGCCTTAATTTACGAAACCACAGCCACAGATGCCCTCGTCATGCTGGTTCCAGAACTACAGAGGCTGCTGGGCGTGGCTGTGCGCGGCCTGAAGTGCAGGTGTGCCCGGCCTGAGTTCCTAGGCATTTCAGCCGAGGGAGCAGCTGGGGAACCAGCCACGGAACGAACCGTCGGCTCTGGACCTTCTCTCTCTGGCAGTGGGGTCCTCTCTGTACACCGAGCCCCACATGTGAGATGCGAGGAGCCTGCTGCTGGGGTGGACGGACGGTCGGGAGCTGACAGCACCACGTCCTGGCTCCTAGGCCCCAGCTGCCAGCCTGGCTGGCCCTGCAGAGATGCACCGCGCGACTCTGGTCCAGTTCCCCTCCCTGAGGATGGGAGCTGGTGGAGGACGAGCCAGGACACAGCTCTGGGCCAGAGACTGGAGCACCCGCAGGACCTGCTTCAGCACGGAGGCTCCCCAGCCCAAGACACAGACCACAGCCTTAACGTTAACGGCGTGTGGGAGGCAGTCGATCCATGATTTTCTCATCATTGATGCTCCTAGCTCTCTTCCTCGCCCTTCCTCTCTGGAACCAATGGAAACATTTAAAAAATAAAAGGGGGAGGGGGACACTTCCTGTGTGGCTCTTGGGGCCCTCCCTGAGGACACAGCTTTGACGATCACATAAGGTGGGGCCGGGACCCCAGATTTTAGCCTGACATTCCAGAACAGCCCGGGAACTGGATGGTTCCCCCAGGGCAGAGCCTGGTGTGTGCCACCTGGACTCACCTGGGCCCGGGGACTGCCATCCCCAACGCTGCTGTCCCTCCCACCCCCAGTTCGGGGCAGGCTGATGGGTCACAGCCACCCAGAGCTCCAGGAGACCGGGCCCAAGACCTGGTTGCCCCAGTTCAGCTGATTTCAGCTTCAAGCACAGAACTGGGGACCAGCCACAGGGCCATCACCCCAAAGGGAACCCAGGGCAAACGCGAAGGCACAGAGGCCTCCGGAGCCGCCGGGCAGCGCTGGGACAGGCCGGGGAGCGCGAGTGGCAAGCAGCTATTTTAAGGGACACGCTTGGCTATTTCAAGGCTTGGCTTCGCTTTATTTACTTAGCTGCAGAGGACGCTGGACTTTCTCGGGGCTCCCTTCCCTCTAAATGGTGGCTCAGGCGGCAGCGCCGAGACCGCCTGGCGTTGCTGCGGCCCAAGGTGTGCCTACAATCCTACCGTCGTGGCGCGACCGCGAGCCTCGGAGGGTCAGGAAGCTCACACTGGAATCACGCGGGGACCCAGGCTGGGAGGACCCGGGGTCAGTGCTTTTCCATAGAAACGCACGCAGAATTCTCTGTTGCAAAGAGGCTTGTGTTTCCCAGAACCTGTCTCTGGGCGATGGTGGTTATCATCGTGCAGAAGGCCTCCCAGCTCATCTGCCATCGACTCCTGCACAACAGGAAGCTGCGGCACGCACTCTGGCTGCCTGGGCTGCAGGGCTCAGTGCCCGTGCCTGTCAGGCCGGCATCAACCCTAGCGGCCTGGGTCCCTGGGAAGCGCATGCAGCTGCGGTGCCGGTGCTGCAGCAGCTGATGTATTCGCGCTCAGTACGCACATCACTCAGAGTGCAACCTCCCGCTTTCAACAAACTGCAAAGGTAAAAAAAACACCAGGCAGGAAGGACGAGACCATTAAAATGTGATGTTGACGAAACCGCCAAACGCGGCACACAAGGGCCCTCAGTCCCTGCGCCCTGACCCCACATCCCTGGACGCCTGGGCCATCGGCCTCCTGGCCCCGCTCTGCCAGCCCTTCTCCAGGTACGATGTTGACCACCAGCAGGTGGGCACTGGGAACCGGAGCTGACTCTGTCCTGGTCCCTCAGGCAGGCGCCGGCCGTGGTGGGAGGAGGTCTCAGGTCTCGCCCTCACCTGCGGGGCAGGTCCACACAGGTGGCATTTGAGCAAGGGGAGGGGGAGCTGAGACATGGCTAACATCGAGAGCAGAAAAACAAATCCAATTCCTCATTCACTTGCCAAAATACCTGCTATTTCTTAAATTTAAGTTTCTTTCTGCAAATGTCTATGCAATTCCTAGGTGAAGTCTCTGCATATAATTCACATGCTATCTCCAAGCTGAGAGCATTTAGTGTTTAGTTTTAAGGCCAGTCAGTTGCTAAAACAAGCAAGACTATTTAAAGTTTCAACAAATGGTGACAGGCTATTATCTAAAGGACAGACAGAACCTATTGACAATCCCTTCAAAGTAAAAAAACTGCATCAGCGGGTGAAGGAGGCGTGGAACTGAGGCCTGAGCTCACTGCCAGTGTGGGAGGACAAAGGCCGGCAGAAAAAGGGTTAAGCCTGGCCTTCTCGGAGGGAGGCCTCCAGCGGAGGGAGGCTGCCCAGTCCAGAGCCCATGGGCGGCCCAGCCCCAGAGCCCGCAGATATAAAGGCTGCTCCCGGCTGCAGCCGCGAAGCTTCGGCTGGCTTCCGTGAGGACCACAGGCACCTCCGCTTCCACGGCCCCAGCCTTCCTCCTGCGTGTGGCCAGCGGCCAGCGGCCGTGAGCACAGTACCTGGGCTGGCCAGGAGCCCTTGCAGGACAGGGAGGTCTGCTCAGAGGGGCACGGGCGGGGCGCCGGCTGCGGCACAGGTAAGTCTGTCTGGGTTCCTGGCTCTGCCTTCAGGTGGGTGTGCAGCCCACTGTGGGTGACAGCTGGGCACGGATATGGGTAGACTGGGCACCAGCTGGGGCCAGGGGCACGACGCCCCCAACCCCTGGGTACAGCCACGCTCCATGGGAGAAAACCCCAAGTCAGCTCTCATGATGTCGGTGTGACGCGGGAGGCTCGGTGTGCGGGCTGCATCCCAACTCCCGCCCGTGTCCCAGTGAGGACCGGCGCCCACAGGACAGGCAGCGCCTGCAGCCCCGCCGGCCAGCACAGCCCTCTGACCTCCTTTAATGAAAACGCTTGCCCGCCCCAGAAAGCACCAGTGATTGACTCGCTTTACAAGGACGCGAGCCTAACGGGTCTGACAAGACGTGGCCTGGCTTCTCTTGATGGACCAGCAGTGGGGGCCCACCCGATGGCGCATCCGTCTACTGCTCCCCACCCTTTAGTGGGACGTGGCGGCAGCCCGTCAGCCCCGTGCCTGCACCTCCTCCTAGACACAGCCTGGGTGGAGGTTCCCTCGCAGCCTCTGTGCCGACGCAGGAGGAGGCCGGCGCCACCGCGCCCGACTCACCGTCACGCTTTCCCCTAAGAGCTGCCTAACACTCCTCAGGATTCCCACAGTTAAAGAGCAAAGCAAACAGCCAGGGCAGTTTCTACAAAGAAATAAAAGAGGCTCTAAAAACACAGACGAAAATCAAATGTATCGACCGCCAGGCAAAGGGTCCTGACACAGAGCCTGGCAGAGGGGCTTGCTCTCTCTTTAGTTTCCAGCATTTTCGAGTGCGAGGTCTAGGAATGTCTAGTCTGGGTTGGCAACTCTTCAGAATTGGTTCCTCATGGCCTCCCGGGATTAAATGAAAACTCTCAAATCAACAATTCAAATCCATTTTAGTGGGACCAGACTTCTCTGCCCTCGAGCGGGCGCGTCCCTCCCTGGGTCCCTGGGTCCCTGGGTGGGGCCGTCCTGTGTGCTGTGGGGCCTGCCCTGCCCACTGCCAGGGGGCACTCCTCCGCACCGTGACCTAATACCGCACGCAGCCGACCCACAGAGAACTTGGGGGACAGGGACGGGACGACAGTGAAGTGCAGACCTGAAGCCCCAGTTTCCACAGAGCTGCCAGCTTTGGCCAGCAGCCGGCCGCCGGCCCCCAGAGCCGGCTGAAAGGGCGGCTGCCTTGCCCACTTCCAGGTCACCGAGTTGCTAGGTTACAAACAGCATTACAGAACATATTAGGTGTGACAGTAATTGTCAACACACTGAATAAAATTTCAATAGTGTTCCCTAAAACAATTACCATTTTCATTCCTTACTTTGTCTTTCATGCCATGTTATTTAAAAAAGTTTCATTTTCGGCATCTAAACTTAGTGTGAGGCTTAGCAAGGAAGCGAGATTCCTTGGATCACTTTCCCGTCAGAGAAGAGGTTCTACCCCGTCTCCCCACGGCGCCTGGGACCCACTGTCTTTCAGAAAAGCTGGGTTTTTCCCTTCCTGCTTATTCCTCTTCCAACAGCTGCCAACATAAATTTTATCTCCTCTCCTGACAGACAGTAGTTTTCCTAAGATCTCCAACCCGTCTCCACGTTACTTCACAAGCCAGCCACTGGACCGTCAGAGGCTCCTGGGTGAGGCTGACTCACTGTCCGTCCGCAGCAGCGAGCCCTTGGGGGAGCGTCTGTTTCTCTGCCTCGGCTCAGCAGCACTTGTCCTCCCAGAAGACACACCTGCGGGGAGCCCTTCTGCACCCACAGTGCACCTGCCTGCAGCATGACGGGTGGAGGACGCCCTGCGCCCCTCTGCGCCCAGGTGCCTGCAGGAGCGGGTCGTGCAGACCCCGGCCGCCAGCTCCTGCTGACGGGCTCCGAGTGAGCAACGCCCGGCTCGCTTCTGAGGACAGCACCTTTCTTTCTCAAGGTGCATGTGCTGCTTGAGACGGGTTTCCGAGAGCCTCGCGGCAGAGCCTGAAGGCCGCCCGTGGTGGAGGCGTGGGCATGACCTCCCGAGCGCCTGTCGCCGGCATGGAGACCCACCCCGGAGCCTACATCGGCGCCCCCATGGCGCTCAACCTGTCCCGCGTGCTGGCCGGCAGGGCCCTAGCCAACCAGACGGGCGAGCTGGCGGCGCAGCCGCACCCGCAGTACGCCATCGGGCTCTTCCTCTCCTGCCTCTACACCGTCCTCCTCTTCCCCATCGGCTTCCTGGGGAACATCCTGATCCTGGTGGTGAACCTCGGCGCCCGGGAGAGGATGAGCGTCCCCGACCTGTACTTCACCAACCTGGCGGCGGCCGACCTCATCCTGGTGGCCGACTCGCTGATCGAGGTGTTCAACCTGGACGAGCAGTACTATGACATCGCCGTGCTCTGCACCTTCATGTCCCTCTTCCTGCAGATCAACATGTACAGCAGCATCTTCTTCCTCACCTGGATGAGCTTCGACCGCTACCTGGCCCTGGCCCAGGCCATGCGCTGCGGCCTCTTCCGCACCAAGCAGCACGCCCGGCTCAGCTGCGGCCTCATCTGGATGGCCTCGGTCTCCGCCACGCTGGTGCCCTTCACCGCTGCGCACCTGCAGCACTCCGGGGACGTCTGCTTCTGCTTCGCGGACGTCAAGGAGATCCAGTGGCTGGAGGTCACCTTGGGCTTCATCCTCCCCTTCGCCATCATCGGCCTCTGCTACTCGCTCATCGCCCGGGTCCTCGTCAAGGCCCACAGGCGCCGGGGCCTGCGCCCGCGCCGGCAGAAGGCGCTCCGCATGATCGTGGCCGTGGTCCTCGTCTTCTTCATTTGCTGGCTGCCCGAGAACGTGTTCATCAGCGTGCACCTCCTGCAGCAGGCGCCGCCAGGCGCCGAGCCCTGCCAACAGTCTTTCCGCCATGCCTACCCCCTCACCGGCCACATTGTCAACCTCGCGGCTTTCTCCAACAGCTGCCTGAACCCCCTCATCTACAGCTTCCTTGGGGAGACCTTCAGATTCAAGCTGCGGCTGTACATGGAGCAGAGAACAAGCGTGTCGGCCTTGAATCGCTTTTGCCACGCGGCCCTGAAGGCCGTCCTTCC